TGTTGTTTTATTTTCCATTTCAGTAAGAAACAAAATGAGTACACGAGTCATCCCCATGAAATGCATCAACAAAGCAAAGCAGGAGCAACAAAATTGAAGCATACTTCTTACTGGGTTGGCAACTCATCCAAGTATTTTTACATGGACCATCATAATGCAAGACAAATAAACTTGACATAAAAAACAACAATGATCGGACGCATTACATACATCATCATATGTATGTGTAATACATGACCATGTTTAGTGTTGCTGGAAGACCACTTTCCTTCTCATCCTGGGCAACAACTTCAGCTTTGTTTTCACACGATCTCTTTATAGCATATGTCAGGGCACTTCATGGATAATCTGGATAGCACTCACATGTTCATTCATTTTGTCATACTAGTAAGCGTGCACGTGCAACTCACGTCTCCATTAACACATACTCCCTCCATTCCAAAATAGATGACTCAACTTTGTACTCAAAGTTAGTACAAAGTTGAGTCATCTATTTTGGAACAGAGGGAGTGCATTTGTACTCCACATTCCAAACATGCAAGGCAGAAAATAAATCACAATATAACATTACAATTCAATCGCATACACATAGTAATTCAAAACTTCGAAAAATCATGTAACATACTGAAATTACATAATCAACTAATAAGGTTCCAAAGTAACGCGAGAGGTAAATGATATGATAAAATAATATCACATGAATTTTGATTTTATTAATTCAATTTTTATATCTTTAACTCAAATGTCCAATCCCCCAATACATCTAGCAAGGCCTCCAAGTTTGGTTCATCTAAGCAGAGCAAAACTTCCTAAAGAAAACATGCACCATCACCAAATATCTCATGGGTGTCTTCTCCAAGGCCCCACAATCTTGACGGGACACTTGAATATGTTGCTGATTTCCTTGAAAGAAAACCACATTTTTTATGGAAGGCCATCATGGCTAGCTTTATTGATCAAACGACATGGATATATATCGTCTACGAGCTTACTCATCGGACGATCTGGAGGCTCATCGGTTCAACTAATAGACACTTTATTACAGTAAATATAATTAGTAGCGCATGCGCCGCTTGGTTTGCATAACGTAAACAATGCTAAAATTGACTTTCCCAATTATCCTTGAAAGAAGATGCACATCTTGATGCACAAGGCAAGATTCATTGGACAGACATCCAAGGTCCAGCCTACTTGAACATATTTTCCAACTTGGAAGTAGGCAGTAAAATCAAGAAAATACAAAGGTCATCCTTTTAGGAATTGGAGGTCCTCCACAAGGTTTTCACTGTTTCTCTCCTCATTTTTGTCACCACCTGGGTATCATAAAAAGTGAAAAATGTTACATAAGTGTTAGTGTTATATACTCCTATTCAAGTGTTAGTATCATAAAATATTTTTTGATGACACTTAACACTTCCAGAAACACTCACTGCCAAACATAAGAGTGTTCAAATGTCTTAACAAAAACTTGTAAAACTGGAAAAACAAATTCATGGCATCAATATCAAAATTAACAACAAAAATAATGTTGAAGAAAATGTAAGTACAATTAAAATTGAACTAAACTTGATGTAATGCAGAACCAGAACCTTTATATGGCTGGCAATGAATCATCCTATATAGCAAAATATGAGTGTCTGAACATAATACCTCTCATTAGGTACTTCATGAAACTTAACACCCAGAAACCACAAGTTGCATGATTATGAAATTTTGATATGTTCAATAATAAACACTGATAAAAATATTATTAGTTCTATAAAACTTTCAAAATGATTGGGATTGAATACCTTTTTACCCCCTTGTGACCATATAAAACTATCGCACCCACATAGTCAAACTGTACACACTTGATAAAAATAATAATTGGACAAAGTACAATGCTAAATACTCCTTTCGTAAAGAAATATAAGAGTGTTTAGATCACTAAAGTAGTAATATAAACACTCTTATATTTCTTTACAGAGGGAGTACAAACTAAATGACCAAAAGGTCTATTGATAAATAAATGAATTGGACAACACTGATGCTAAAAAACAAAATCAAAAAAAGCTCAAAAAAGGACACACCTGACTCTCCCTCTCAGTTCTCCTCACCTTGTCACCTACCTTCCCCACCCTTATCCATTCACTTTCTCCCCACTACTCCCTATTCCATGGCACAAGCCCAGAACTCTCTCTACCTCCTTGGGCCGCCCCTCCTCTTCGTCCCCGCCGCCGGCGCGAGGACTCGCACTCTTCCCACTCTTCTCAGCCCCTCATTGAATCAGTCGCCGCAGTGCCCGAGGATCCGCTCGAGCCCGGCATGGTTGCTGGGCGCGGGACGCAGGCCGACGCGGAGGCGCGGGACTCGTCTCCATCCGATCGGCGGGCATGGAAATCATGCGTCGCAACGTCCGCGCCCGGTGCCTTCCTCTCCATCTCGCTCGTCAGCGGCTTCCACCACCCTGTGCATGCGACTACACTGCGCCCTGCCCAGATACGGCAGCGGTGTTGCGGTGGCTTGTCCCCTCCAAGTGCAAGCCGGCGCCATTAGACGATCTATTCCCCACTTCAGCTTTCATATCTGCTTATTTCTGATTTGAGTTACTCCCCATTACCCACTTCTGCTAATCCCTAATTGCCATGCATTCCTGTATAGTACATATGTAGCTCAGTAGTCTAGGTTTAAGCATGAGAGTCATTTTAGAATCAGGGAGAAAAATTAGAAGTTGGGGTGATCCTATTTTGGTCTGCCTAATCTTGGAGTAAGCTGTTCGATTAGACGTTCTTAACTTAGTTGCGGCAACTGTTATGAGTGGGGATTCCAGTTAGTTAATATTCTTGAGGCAACCATGCTGTGATAAAGCTGATTGATTGGTGGATTTGAATTCTGGGTGGCTAGGGGCGATAGGGACCAAGACAGATGAGGTTGATTTGGCTTGATCCTGCCAAGAAATTTACTTCTATTTTGAAAAATGAACACATGTTCTTAGATGTGCAAGGTTAAGTTTCCAAATGCGAGGTTTATAGAAAATCAAAGAGGAACAAGAGAAGCATAGTATGATAATACAGTAGGATAAGCATGTATGACTGTATGATAATACAGTTTGAAGAATGATGATGGTATGGTTCTCATATAGAGGACGGTGGTTGGCTCACAGAGTTTATCACCTCAAAAACTTCCTTTCTTGGAATAACTTGCCTTATTAGAAGTCCATAAACATCTCTGGCACCTTCAGTACTACTTACGGCAGCTGCACAATTGTTATTCATGATATAGCACAACATTTTAGATATATTTCTTGTTGTCCCGGACCCCCTGTTAAAACAGAAGTGCTTTTGCAGGCTTACAAGAAATATATTTTGAAGACCATCTAACTATCTAAGAGTCATGGAATTCGTTCCATCCTAAATTTTTGGGACTCTGGAATAAACACAAAGATGGGAATGGGGATGCATACCTGCCTGCCATACACATTGACAGGTTTTCAATACTCACCCCGAAGCTTTTCAGCGTTGTACAGAAGAAGTAATTGACAAGTTTACTTCATGATAGTCTTGGATTTGGTTTGGCTGGCCAAAATGATCAGGTACTTACTCACATAATTTCTGAATATTCCAGTTATTTGTTGAATGCATCAGTTAGACTACTGTGATACATCAAAGCTTCTGTGTAACTGAAACACCATAATTTTGGAGGACTATCCTGTTTCCAAATCCTAGCTCCACCATTGATTCTACCTGAATTTACTTTAGTAGATCTTCTCGTAAAATCCAAACTGTTTCCGAGCCTATATGTTTGGTTTCATATTTTTGTTTATCATGCAATACTTATCCCGCAGCCATCTAATATGCAAATTTGATAATAGAAGATGACCTCGTTTATGTACAGAAAAATGCATATTCTTGGACTGGGTTTTCTTCCAAACTCTCTTGGACCGGGTTACAAATAGATCATACTGACTGGGTTTTATTCATTCAGTCATATAGATTCGAATACTGTACTGTTAAAATTCATGTTGAAGTTACAGGAGGTAGATCTTTTATGGTTTGCACAAAAATGATGCATTGATCAACACATTGTTGTAAATATGCAAATTTGAGAGTGAAGAACATTGTTATAAGGATGCAAATTTGACAGGGATTAGGGAAGCAAATGAAGAACGCACATATATGTTAAATTGAATTTTGTATAAAATCAGGAACTGGTCGGTCCCATCAAGTTAACCCAATTGAATATCCTGTAAAATCATACCATGTTCCCTTGGTGCAGGCAGAGGCAGGTGCAATGAGGAGTTCGTCAGCGCCTACGTCGTCGGGGTTGCGGAAGGCGGCGATGGCCAAAACTGGCTGGGCGGCGACGGTGCAACAGTGGCTTGCGCACAAGAGGATAGTCTGCACGTAAGTCCGGGTGGGCAAGGGTAGGAAGATCCAGCTGATTCCCGCAAGTTTAGCCATTTGTTATTAGGCGGACTTGTTCAATTGCCGTTAATTGTGCCTAATTTTCTGTAGTTCAGCCATTTGTTGTTAGGACGCTAACATAATTGGTGGAACCGTTCCGATCTTGTGCGAGCGTGGGTCCGGCAGAGTTTTCGTCCGTCATGTTCTCTTGTTTAATAGTAGTGTAGATAACGGTCAAAGAAAAAAAAAGTACACTCAATTTATCATTTAATTAGAGCACCGGTTTAATCCATGAAGGCAGCGTGTAGAGCACTCTCTCACACACACAGAGGAATGCTTGTATTTCTTAGTTTTTTCACCTACCTATGGCACATCATTTCAAGAATATAGTTGTTGAAGCAACTTATATGCAAAGCACGACTACTATCACGACATCCTTTTTGAGGACAAAGATAATTAATAACACGACATTCTATGTCTCATTGCTATCTTATTTATTTGATCATTTTGGGAGCTTCAATTCATGGAATAATTCAGTGAATGCCATCTGCAATGACCCGTTGTCTGCCAATGCCAACACTCATCTAGCCTTCTCCTTCGCCAATGTCAGCCTCCCACTTAGATCCTCCCCTTCTTCTCCATGCCCTCAGCCTTCACAAGTTCCACGTCATACTTCTCCATCACCTCCCCGACATTCATATCATCCACCACGAATATAATTCATAACATTCAGGCGGTAAGGTCAATGTACACCAAGCCAGTCAAATAGATAGTACTTTAGCATCTCTCAAGGGAAGTTTCAAATTTCACCTAAAAATTTCAATTAAAGTCATGTCAATAATTTAACCTTCTACCAATATTAAATACTATATGATAAATGTGATAGCTTAAATTCAAAGTATTAGATTGGATCCTCCCTTAACAATATGACTGATAGATAGTTTTGAGAGGAAATCTGCATATATTTTAGCATAGACTTACCCAAAGAAAAGGTCATTATAACCGTTCAACAAATGACCTATAACCTCTAATGTACCGAAGGGGAACAGATTAGATGACATGTCCTAAGTTGGAAGTGTGACACTTATGACCGTGGTATGTAATTGATATATTCCAGTTGGAAGTGTGTCATCAGATGCAATGTGGAAGTGTGTCATTAGATGCAATGTGGAGGGAAGATATCAAGGATACTCATTGGAGTATATATGCGGTGGCACTGGAGCAGCTGATTACCGATGGGAGAACGGCAGCCCCACTCGTGTACTGGTCGGCAGTCACAACCATGCAATTGTACCCGTTGCTACTGCGTGTATTTGCAGATTAGAGAGCTATAGATTCAGGATCCAGAGATGGAAGAAGATACCTGGGTCGCCAACGTTACTGTCATTGATCCAAAAATCCCTAGGACTGCCTCCAGCAGCGGGTCCTCCAGTAGCATGGCACCGAGTGTGCGGCCCTCTCATCCTCTTCAACACCGCCAACCGCCTCACACTACTCCTTTCCTCGCTTATCTCCACCGCTGCTCACCTTCCCGCCGGCACCATCCGTCGTGCCCTTCATCTGACAACAAAAATATTTTTTTATCAATAGATAAAAGTAAATTCACTTCTCAAAAAAATACTAAATTCATAATCCATATACGTGTTCATGATCTTATTCCATACGCATGTTCAGAAATGTCCCTAGAACAAATAAATTTGATATCGCTATACATACGGAATGTAAAACTTAGATGGTCAGCCTGAAATAGTTCATTTCTGAATGCAAGTAGTACCGGAAACTACATAGCATTCACAACTTCCATAGTAGCCTATGGCATCGGACACTTGCATATTTGAAAGGCTCGCAAGCTGAAAGCTACACGTATCACAAAAAAAACTCCAAGTACAGTTGATTATACTCTAACCCAGCCGGCAGTGCCACTCCCTTGATCAATCATGAGTTTGTGCTCTAGATTCACAAGTTTGCTCATTCTACACACTGTACACTGCACATTAAAATACATGGATGAAAGGAAGAGAACCAGGTAGACTTGGTTCTCAAAGCATCTGAATAAAAAGAAGCAACATTTGCTTTTTACGTAACCCATATGAAAGAACTTCAATTAAAAAAGATACATGGATGCATATTAGTTTGGTTTTCTCAGAAATACAGGGATGAAAGGAAGTAGACCACCAATACCGAGCTCACCAATAATCCATTATACATATTTGCAATATAGACCAAAAATCCATTCGGTCCTGGAATTTTACAATATATATTTTCTATTAGTCATGAACAATCATTACAAACCCAAAATTCAATTACTTTAAAATAAGGAGCTCGATATCAGATTACCTGATCTTTCGTAGAGAAAAACAAAATACTATTTTTTTTTGCTAGAACAGCAAGAGGTCAGCCCAAAATAGTTGCTATAATCATCTGCACAAATATAAGATAATTAATGATTCTGCACATGCATCAAGCTTCATTCTATGGGGTTGCGGCGCCTGGACAGGTGAGCACATCAAAATTTCCAGAAACACATCTCAGAAGTAACCGGCCATTTGGCAGTATCAACTACCCCCTTTCCAGAAATATAAAGTGTATTTTGATTTTCTAGGCTCAAGCACTAATCAACGATTAATCTAATAACACATACTTTATGGCGGCACAAAGTTGATATCATTAGCTTTGTGCCTCATGTTGTGATTTTCTGACTATGGCACTGTCAATGTCTGAACTCAGACGATTATGATATGTAATGTTGTTGAACGGAGGGATGAAGCAACTGCGGATGCATTAGTTACCTCACGCATTTTATGCGCCTCATCAGGAGTACTGCAGTTTGCGGCACATTTGTCGAACATTTCAAGTATCCTGAAGACTCGATTCCTGGCGTCATTCGGATCTGAAGCGGACGACATCTTCTTGACAATTAGCTTCGCCCATTCAGTCCTGTTGGCTGGAGTATTCATCACGTGCACATCAGATGCCACTGCGATTAACAATCGTTCAAGAGTTAGACAAGATGCAAATTGTACGAATGGTGCTGTTTATAAAAAATATACATCTCTAGACATTACTATAACTATCAGGCAACAAGAGAAAGAAGCAGTCAGGGTTATTTTTCAGTCATGTCAGCCATACCTCCAGATGAGGAGGCACCAGCATTGGTCGTTGCTGAATCCGATGCCAAATAATCCCTGAAGCTTCTGATGGCAGCATCCAAGACATTTCCGGACCCTTCGAGATAGCCCCGCAGAAGCTAGAAATTCCCCAAAATTACCCATTAGACATGTACAGAGCAAGACGGTACAAATCGGGGTTCTCAAGTCCACTGTTGTGGCATAAACCAAAGCTATACCAGGATTTCAGAAAACCATGGCAGAACTTCTGTGCACAAGGATAGAACAGATGTGCAAGCTATTTGTTTTCAGTTATTTAGTTCAGACAGTTTACTTCTGAATCCTAAATTTAGCCATCATGTCGGGTCGAAGGCGTGATAATTGATCAGCAGAGGAATAATCCTCATGGGTGATTCCTACCCTGCTTCCCTGTAACGGTTTATACACGAAGCGCTTGGCACACGCAAGAGAGAAATCGTGGTGGATGATTCTTCTGAACTTTTGATTTCCAATTCCATCAATCTCTGAACTCTTAGTCTATTCTAATTCAAGAAAGGGTATATGAATCGACAACAGAAAATTTGTTTCAAGATCAAGGCACAATCTTTCTTGCGGTGTAACCAAGTTCGATTGGTTCTTGTGATGAGCTGAATCGGCGGGCTCTAATACACGTCTGCGCACGATCTACCAATCAACCGAAAGAACAAGAAGCGAAAGAAAGAGGCACGGAGCGGCGGCGGGGGTACCTGCGGATCGGCGCCGGGGAAGACGGACTGGACCGCCTCGACGGGGTCGAACTCCATGTTGATGCCGAGGTCGGCGACCGAGGCCGCGGTGGCGGACGGTGAGCACCGGCCCCGCTTCGCCTGCAGCACGTCGAAGGGGTCGTCCAGGAAGGCCACTGCCCCGTGCTTCCGGGTGCCGTCGACCTCCACCGCCATGGCCCAGCGACGGCGGCGATCCGGGGCGACGAGACGTTGGCAGCGATTCCGACGGCGAAGGTGGCGATCCGGGGCGGTGACGGCGGCGATCCGGAGGACGCTGGGCTGGTCGACAAGCTCCCGTGTGGCGGCGGCGCAGGAACCCTAGCGCGTGCGAGGGTACGAGGAGAGGATGCTTGCGCGAGGAGAGGGAAAGGAGTGGTTTGTGCGTGGGGGTGGTTTTGAGGGTTGCGAGTTAACGGAGGTGGGAGGATGATGAAAAAACCCGACGAAATTAAACCACGAAGACTATTCACCAAGTAGTCCATTAGGAGTAGAGATATACTCCCTCCGTTCCGATTTACTCGTCGTGGTTTTAGTTTAAAATAAAACCACAACGAGTAAATCGGAACGAAGTGAAACTAAAACCACGACGAGTAAATCGGAACGAAGGAAAACTAAAACCACGACGAGTAAATCGGAACGAAGGGAGTATATCCTGTGCAATGATTGCTCTGTCTCCAACAAGCCAAGCAGCAAAAAAGTGCAGGCTCTGTCAATTTGATGAGGCAGATGGACGATGCAACGTCTGTCCGAACCTTCTTGTCTGCAGTGCACAACAGCGGGTGACTGAGTCTCTGAACTCATAGACCGACATGAATGGCTGCACAACCGCGGCGCGTGCGTGTAAGCTCGTTCGCGACATGCATTGCTGCTCCCTCCCCGACAGATTTCGACCCACTCCGCTAGTTTTGGTTCCTTCAATTGCGTTGGACCATCCTATAGTTCTTGTAGATCGGGTTAGCAGCTGGGTGGTTTGGTTGGTGATTAACTTCAGAGTGATTACTTCAGCTGACATATTGCGGTGCTGACGTGTTGAAGGAGCAGAACTGAACATGCCTCCTAATATGTTTGGCTAGAATTTAATTAATGTTTACACCTTTTTTTTTTCAACCGGGCTCACATCCCTTTTCATTAATTTCTTAACGGAAATAACCAGTACAGAGTTCGACCTTAGAGAGGTAAAGCATAATGCAAACTGGTCTAAAACAAACACAAGGGGAGGAGCGAGTTGGAGTATTAACCTGCCATTCATCCTGATGGTGAATACTTGTACCATACCTGGTGGGTGGAATGATACTGCAACTGTGATGATCCCAAAGGTTAATTCTCCAAAAAATGTAACACAATTTTAACCAATTAGTTTGTGCAATGTGGTGTACAAGGTTATTTCAAATATGATCGCGGCCCGTTTGGAGACAATCCTTCCAGATATTATTAGTGCGACTCAGAGTGCATTTGTAGCCGGAAGAATGATTACAGATAACATCTTAGTGGCGTACGAGTGTGGGTCCCAGCGACAGTGACCGCGCGCGCGAGAGAGAGAGAGAGAGAGAGGTGGGACGGGCGGTCGAGGCGAAGGGTTTTCGGGCGTGGGCGAGACCGGTTGGACCAGCTGGGCTGTGGGGAAAGAGATGGGCTGTGCAGGCAGAAGGCCTTCGGCTAATTTAAAAAAAACAAAATAAAGCACATAAAAGAAAAGAAAAGAAATAAAATAAAATAAGAATATTATATAGACACATAATATACAGAAATGGTCAAAAAAATAAATCCTAAAACATGAACTATTTTTCAAATTCAAATTTTTTTTCACAAAAATTCAAATAATGCCAACAATGCCACTATTGCTTTTAAAATTCAAATAAAATTATTTTAAAATATCAAAATGATTTCCAATTTATTTTTCTCCACTTCCGTTGAAGGGAATCATTTTACCCTATTTTCCATATATTTTATTTTTTTGAGAAAAATAATTTGAATAAAAGTCAAATAATGCAAAATTCAATTAAATCCAAAATGGCTATTCAAATTGGGTTCAAATATTTTTTAAACCATTTTGGATTGGTTCCAATATAAATTTTCATGTTTATTTTCGGTAATTGAAGGAGTCGTATTAACTTCTCTCTTGATTTAATTTGAAATATAAATTGGAAGGGTTTTTTAACCTTCATGGAGTATTTCCAAAAGTGGCCATAATGCCATTTTGAAAGTGACCTCCTACTTCCCACTCTATTTCCAACATTTGAGGAGTCATATTATCTTCCCTCATGAAAATCCTTGAGTGGCATAAAGTCTCTGGTTTGAAAATATCTCAAATGAAATTAAAATCATTTTCAATTCCCTTTTTCATTTCTAAAAAGGGAAGAAGTCATATTATCTTCACTCTAGGGGTTTGTATTTGTAATGAATTTGAATACAAAGTGAAAGCTTGGAGAAGTCCTTTTATTCCCTCGCATTCAACTTCCAAAAAGTTCCAAATTTACACTGAATTTCACACAATAACGAAGCAAAACGATCAAAACTATTTATTTACTATAACATTCCAAAATTTAGAATTTTGGGATGTTACAAAACGACAACGTACTTAAGTAGTGATTTGATTTGAACGAGTTAATGCATGACATTGTTTTAGGAAAGTGTCGATTTGCTTGAATTAATGCATGCGTTATGGGCCGGCTAAAGTTGGTTGCGGATGAGCGAAAAGTCACCTGTAAGACCCTCGTGCTAAATAAAAAAAGCCCTTTAAGACACGCACAGGAGTAATATACGGTTTGTCGAGGGATTGGTGGGAGGTGAGACGAGAGTACCAACTCCTCCTTTAGAAGTACAGATGTGGCGGCAAACAAAAGATGTAGGCATCTCAAACAAGATTGTCCCGCTATCTCTTTGTCTACATGGGAGATATTCGAATAAGGCGTTGTCTAACTGGTTGTGCGTGTAACTAGTATCTCAGCCGTTGCTACTTCATATGGATCCAAGCCTTTTTTGTGTGTGGAAACAACCACATATATTTTCTTAGACAAGCAGATTATAAAGAGTACATATGTGGTCACCACAAGAGATAAACATAGATGTCTTGCAATATTACACTAGAGACTCTCCAAGTAGTAAAACTAGAATTTTACTACTGTAGAATCTTGTACCACGCTAAAATGTCATCCACCATCATCCTCTGCCGTCGCCGAGGCAACACTGAAGAAAGAGAGGAACTGTCGTCATACAAACATCTAGCGGAGCACCTTTGTATGCAAAGATTCTTTTCGAGCCGATCAACCGGACCGCCACAAGCGACGATATCAAGGCTTTGTGGCACGTCGGCCGGGGTTCTTTGTCGTGTCCGCTATATCCCAACTGTCAACTTCATCCGATGTAGTCGAAGAGGAGGATTGATGGTGATGACGATGGCGACGATTTCCCCCCTCCCGGAGGGATGTTTCCCCGGCAGAACAGCTTCGCCGGAGCCCTAGATTGGTTCCGCCCAGGTTGCGCCTCGAGACGGCGGTGCTGCATCCCGAAAGTTTCCTTATGATTTTTTCAGGGCAAAAGACACCATATACCAGAAGATGGGCATCGGGGGGCTTCCAGGTGGCCCACGAGGCAGGGGGCGCGCCCAGGGGGTAGGGCGCGTCCCCCACCCTCGTGGATAGTGGGTGGCCCCCCTCTGGTGCTTTCTTCGTCCAATATTGTTAATATAATCCAAAACTGACTTTCTTGGAGTTTTAGGACTTTTGGAGTTGTGCATAATAGATCTCTAATATTTGATCCTTTTCCAGCCCAGAATTCCAGCTGTCGGCATTCCCCCTCTTCATGTAAACCTTGATAAATAAGAGAGAAAATGCATAAGTATTGTGATATAATGTGTAGTAACAGGCTAACAGCCCATATTGCAATAAATATCGATATAAAAGCATGATGCAAAATGAACGTATCAAACGCGGAGGCGGAGTATTTGGCCCCCAAGCGATGAGATGGTGGAGAAGAAGGCCATCCTCGATTCAATTCAGGACGAGGCCTATGTCGAGGCCAACCGGCATTTCATCCAGCAATAACAGGCGGCGGTGGAGGCAGTGTACACCGAACTTGACACAGAGGCAGGGTTGGAGGAGGTGTCGGAGTCTCCGCAGGCGCAACAGCTTCCGCGCGAGCCCGTCTACACATCATCGGGCACGGAGCTAGTCGAAAACTCCGACAATGATTAGTTTTACCTATGTACGTAGAGCATCTCCAACAGCCGCGCAATGCGAGGCACGCTAAAAAAGTGTTTGCAGTGCACTGTTCGCGAGTTTTTGTGCGGCGCGGAGCGCTTGCTCCAGCGGTCGCTGCAAAGTTCAGCGCGCGAGTCTCTCCAGCAGACGCGCTATATTTCTTCTTTTTTATACTATGATTCAATACACATTTGGCTCCGATAGTACATAGATATAAATGATAGGTAGTATAGATAGTTCAAAGCCTCCTCCTAGGATACATAGATAGTGCATAGATAGTTCATAGCCTCCTCCTATGATAGATAAAACGAGAAACTACTACTACTCGTCATCCTCTGACTCGGACTTCGCCTCGGTGATGTCTTCCTCCGACGTCTGAATGTAGGCGTCAAGGAACCGAACGTCATCCCCAAGACGACGCATCTCCTAGCGCGATGTTGAATTTAGCGTACGTGGCTCGCTCCACCCTCCTCTCCTCCCTCTCCGCCCTCCTCTTAGCGAAGAACTGTTGCTCGTTGATGACGTCTTGCGGGAAGCATTGGCGCCACAACACCATGGTTTCCTCGTTCATCTCGACCATGCTGAGACGGCGCTCCGCCTCCGGTTCTCGCGATGATCCTCGTCGGTGATAAGCAGCGGGGGAGGTGCCAACTCCTTTGCCCGCTCCCGCGTCGCCACGCCCGGGAAGTTCATGCCCCAACGGGAGCGCCGGAGGTGCCACGCCGTAGCGTCGCACACGCAGTCGCCCTCGTGGGCAGTGTCGAAGGTGTCGAGGCCGAGGCGCACGTTGCCGGACCGAATCTCGATGGAGTAGGTGCTGGACGGGCGCATGCGTATGCTGCGGTAGCCCGAAGCTCTCTGGTGGGGCGGCGGCATGGTGGTGCGGTGGTGGCACATATACGGCGAGGCGAGAAAGCGGTAGAGGGAGCAAGGAGAAAGCAGTAGAGGGCGCGTGGCGATGTGGATAGTGCGACT